CCCCTTCATAAATGTTACTTTGCTCACACTCCAACAGCACGTCAAGTATTAAAAACCATTTGTCTCCATTCACTCCTATCAAACACGCTCACGCACTCCTGCTGGAAGTCCAAGCCCCTCGCACACAAAACCTCCTTTACCCCCTCCCTCCAACCTTTCCTAGGCCGACCCCTACCCCGCCTTCCTTCCACTACAGACTGATACACTCTTGAAGTCATTCTGTTTCGCTCCATTCTCTCTACATGTCCGAACCACCTCAACAACCCTTCCTCAGCCCTCTGGACAACAGTTTTGGTAATCCCGCACCTCCTCCTAACTTCCAAACTACGAATTCTCTGCATTATATTCACACCACACATTGCCCTCAGACATGACATCTCCACTGCCTCCAGCCTTCTCCTCGCTGCAACATTCATCACCCATGCTTCACACCCATATAAGAGCGTTGGTAAAACTATGCTCTCATACATTCCCCTCTTTGCCTCCAAGGACAAAGTTCTTTGTCTCCACAGACTCCTAAGTGCACCACTCACTCTTTTTCCCTCATCAATTCTATGATTCACCTCATCTTTCATAGACCCATCCGCTGACACGTCCACTCCCAAATATCTGAATACATTCACCTCCTCCATACTCTCTCCCTCCAATCTGATATTCAATCTTTCATCACCTAATCTTTTTGTTATCCTCATAACCTTACTCTTTCCTGTATTCACCTTTAATTTTCTTCTTTTGCACACCCTACCAAATTCATCCACCAATCTCTGCAACTTCTCTTCAGAATCTCCCAAGAGCACAGTGTCATCAGCAAAGAGCAGCTGTGACAACTCCCACTTTGTGTGTGATTCTTTATCTTTTAACTCCACGCCTCTTGTCAAGACCCTCGCATTTACTTCTCTTACAACCCCATCTATAAATATATTAAACAACCACGGTGACATCACACATCCTTGTCTAAGGCCTACTTTTACTGGGAAATAATTTCCCTCTTTCCTACATACTCTAACTTGAGCCTCACTATCCTCGTAAAAACAAAATAATTTTTTTACATGAAATATACATTTCCCTACACAAAAAACAATGATACATGCACAATAAACAATACTGAAATGACACTTACCTTTATTGTGGACTTGTTGATGAGTGATGAGACGGGACATTGTTTTTCTTGAACACTCTGGGACGTGCAGGGAGTGTAGCAGGCATGCAGGGAGTGTAGCAGGCATGCAGGGAGTGTAGTGGGCATGCAGGGAGTGTAGCAGGCATTCTACACTCATTGTAAGCATACTTTCACCTTTTGCAACAACAGCTTCCTTGATTGCCTTTCTGTTGGCCAGGATAGTAGCGATGGTTGATTGGGGTTTGTTATGCAACTTGGGCCAGCTCGGAGGCACACACTCCACTTTCGTACTTGGCGATTATCTCTTTCTGCAGTTTGATAGTATTTCTCACCCTGTTTACCACAGGGTGGCTTATTTAGCAGTTACAAGCACTAAAAACAATGAAATAATACAAAATGTATCGAATGTATGCGTGGAACTGTCTGCCCTGGCTTGTAAACAGTGGCATACTGGCTCTACATAGTGGCCCGGCAGCCCAGGTCATGCGGACGCGTTCAGGATGAATGTCCTTAACTGAATTTTTCATCGTTGGCCGAGCCATTATTTTTACGCAAAAACGCATTGGTATCCGATTTTATCGCTATCTGATGGCATAGTTACCCGAGGGTCCACTGTATTAGTATTACATTATGTTTCCTCTCCACCTGGCAACCTCACCTCCATGTAATGTTTCTTTGTAATTTGGAAGAAAATATCGAAGTTGGATTAATGAAAATGTCTATAGTGACATAGTGGGACATTTAATGTGCCCAAGAGTTATTATTATTACTTAGTATTACTATGCCATTAAGACTAGAGGGACACTTCTAGTGATTTTAATGTGCACCTGCACGCTAACACAGTGTGTAAGTATATTTAGGTACAGATACACAAATATTATTATCAGAACACACATAAAATATGCAATAACTTTAAAACACTTGAAATTTTGGAAAGTTTCCAGACATAATAGAGAGATGTGCTCACGGAGAATGTAAACAAACCAGGTGGCACGCACCGTATATGAAAGACTGCTCGCCATATAGAAAGTTTTGGTCATAATTTGAAATTGCCATATTAGCAGAAAGCCATAAAGCGGGGCCCTACTGTACAAACATGCATCATGCTGAAATAAAATATTATTATTACAGTGGTACCTTGACTTAAGAGTGCCCCAGTTTACGAATTTTCTGAGTTACGAGCCATTGCTCGGTCGATTTTTTACTTTGAGCTGCGAACCAGAATCTGAGTTACGAGTGAGCTTCAGATACACTACCACTAGTTGGCGGTGTATCTGAAGTCAAATCCAACTCTCTACCCAGAGGAATGTCAGGTACTTCGTCCCATCCCACATGCTCTTCCAAGACATAACTGGAAGGATAATACTCTCGCAATAATCCCAGATTGTAGTGAGGCACCTCGTCCCTTGTTAGATTCTCGTATAAATCCGGGGAAGAGGGTTTAGTACTGATAGTGGTGGGTGGAGTACTCATGGTGGTCGGTGGAGTAGTGATGGAGGTGGGTGGAGTAGTGATAGTGGTGGGTGGAGTAGTGAGGGTGGTGGGTGGAGTAGTGAGGGTGGTGGGTGGAGTAGTGAGGGTGGTGGGTGGAGTAGAGATGGTGGGTGGAATAGTGAGGGTGGTGGGTGGAGTAGAGAAGGTGGTGAATGGAGTAATGATAATGGTGGGTGGAGTAGATATGGTGGTGGGTGGTGTAGTGAAGGTGGTGGGTGTAGTATTCAATATTTCTTAATTATAAATACATTTTTCTTATTTAAAAACCTGTAACAAAAAAACTGGAGTGGTTTTTTGGGGGCTGGAACAGATTAATAACATTTCAGTTAATTTCAATGTGGAAATTTGATTTGATATATGAGCAAATTGAGTTACGAGCTCGGTCACGAACGAATTAAACTTGTAAGTCAAGGTACCACTGTATTATTATTATAATTGTGACCCAAGTAGATATTTCAGCAAGTTCAACATTTACTAAGTTGTTGATTGCTGCCAGATCTGCATTTGCAATGGCAAAAGTTGTCATAAGCAAACAGAATTGGTTTAGGTTCCGTGAAACATTTGAAACTTCTTAATGTAGAAAAGGAATAGCAGAGTGGAGCCCCTTTGTTGATCAGTCAGGTTGCTGAGAAAGTCATTAATGGTTACATGTTGGTGTCTGCCACTCAGGTAATATTTCATGTATGAGACAACATGCCCCCTAATTTCATAATGTTCTAATTTAAACACTAGAATGTTATGGTCTCCTGTATGGAAGTTTTTTTCATATATCAACAAAGAGGTCCATTGGATATTCATTATTTTCATAAGAGTAGATCGAGTTGATCATTTTCATTATCTCATCATTGGTACATCGTCCCAGCCAAAGCCAAACTGATGTGGGTCAAGGATATTGTGTTTGGTTATGAAATCATATGCAATATTTGTTTGAACTATATTATTTTTGCAAAGATATTAGACAGTAAAGGCAAGTTTGAAATTTGCCTGTTATTATTGACTTATGTTGGGTTACCACTTTTGTAGACTTGTTACTTGCTGGTTTAACCCTTTCAGGATTGAGACCCCAGCTCGCAAACTTGCTCTCAGAGTCACAAAATCCCCCCCCCCCCCCCCAATCTCAAGAAATGGTAGAGAATCTTTTTGTGAAGGTAATAAAAGAAAAAGTTCAAGATTTGATGGAAAACATGAAATTACACTTTTGCAAATTTTGGTGTGTCAGTGATATTTATGCATCAGCAATTTCGTCCACTTTTGAATCCGATTTTAGGCCATTTCCATTGTTACAGTTGACCAAATTCTTAGCTATTTCACTAGTATGTCTTCCTTTCTATTGACTGAGTGCAAGAAACTGCCCGTTCAACTATTTAAACTACCCAGTACAGTGATCAGAATTAGGTAATTTGGCCAATTTCACACAAAATTCAAGAAATGCCAGTTTCAAAATAGGGTTCAGAATACACAGTGCAGATATTACTGGCACTAAAATAACATTTTCTTTGTTCATTTGTCATGTCTCCAGGCCCCTATTATATTATGCTTGCTTTCCATTTTGAATTTTTATTCACAAAAAATAGATATGTTATTGTTATGCAGACTATTGTATTTTTGTAATAATTGTATAAATAATATCACTGCATTCCTAAATGCACATTAGACTGGCCAGTTGGACACGTATTGGACAAGTGACATCATTTGCGTACTCTGGAATATTGGGAGAAATTAAACATTTTTGCTACTTTCAGTCCTGAAGCCAATCAAAATCATCTCTATTTCTGTAATATATCGTCCATTCTATCAAATGAGACCAAAAAACAGAGACTACATCCACAAAATCATACAAAAATACATCACAGATTTGCTGTTTTAAACCAAAAACATGGTCCCATTTTTTTTCTCATGCACTGCATGCTGCAGGATTTTTTATATGGTGCACGCTTACTGCATAAATCCATTCTCTCATATCTAGGCCCAGATTTACTGCTCACAGCTTATCTGAGTGAGCTGAGCTCACTGGCTTCAAAGCTGTGATACAATGGCACTGACACTGAAAGGGGTTAAATGAGATTTTACCACTTTCATGGGGTAATTTTGATAAGCTAGTTACTAGGAAGGTTGAGTAGTGATCAGTAGTATTGTTTGTGATGAAGCCTGCTCTTTGAGGAGCTGGAATATTTGTCCATATGTGGTCAAGTGATGTTGCAGTTATTCTTGTAGGCCTGGTTATCAAGTGTATTAGTAAGCAGTTGTACATATTATTCAGGAAGTCTGTAAATTGTTCCACCTTTGGTAATGTGGGTTGTGAATTGTTCCAGCTATGGTATTGACTTCCATTATTCTTTGGGTCAGAATAAAATGGTTTTAATTTATTTTTATTGGATCTCCACAGAACAAGCTCGGGGACACACCGTTGCACTGTGCGGCATACAGAGGTCACGGTGAAGTGGTGCAACTGCTCCTCAAACATGGAGCAAATACAAAAATTGTCAACAGGTGAGAGACTGTCATCTTCTTAACTAACATACAGAGTAATACAGGTACTTTTTTTTTTTTTTTACCGAAAAATTTTCAACCCCGAGAACAAGTTTAGGAGAGGGCCTCTCGACCCTGAAAGGGGTTAACACCATAGTAATACTACTAATACAGTAGACCCCCGCCTTACGATATTAATCCATTCTTGAGAGCTCATTGTAAGCTGAAATTATCATTAGCCGAATTAATTTTCCCCACAAGAAATAATGTAAATCAAATTAATCCGTTCCTGACACCCCAAAGTATGAAAAAAAAAATTTTTTACCACATGAAATATTTTAATACACACAAACTGAAGAAGACATGCACAGTTACTACTCTACTAAGAATAGAATACATGACACTTACCTTTATTGAAGATCTGGTGATAATTGATGGGATGGGAGGAGGGGAGAGTGTGGAAGTTATTGTTTAGAAGGGAAATCCCCTTCCATTAGGACTTGAGGTAGCAAGTCCTTTTCCGGAGTTACTTCCCTTCTCCTTTTAATGCCACTAGGACCAGCTTGAGAGTCGCTGGACCTCTGTCGCACAACAAATCTGTCCATAGAGCTCTATACCTCCCGTTCCTTTAAGACTTTCCTAAAATGGCCATAACATTGTCATTGTACAGGTTGCCAACATGGCTTGCAGTAGCTGTGTCAGGGTGATTTTCATCTGTAAAGGTTTGCAGTTCAACCCACTTTGCACACATTTCCTTAATCTCTTTTTTCAATAACATACTAATTCTTGCCCTTTTTACCACAGGGATGGCACTAGAAGCTTTCTTGGGGTCCATAGTGACTTATTTTGCAGTTTCAAGCACCAAAAACACTGGGATAATGTGAAATGTACCGAATGAATGTGTAGATGCGACCACATTGGCTGGCTTGTAAACACTGGCGCTGAGGCCACACATGGGACGAATCACGTAAGGCGAGTTTTTTATCGTGAGGTGAAGCAAAATTTTTGCGTTCAAATGCTTCGTATGGCGGATTTAACATAACGCGATGCGTTCGTAAGGCGGTGGTCCACTGTACATAATAATAATCACTCTTGGATCCAACACATTAGCCCTTTGAGGGTCGAGAGGCCCCATTGTAAACTCGTTCATAGGGTCGCAAAATATTCGAACAAAAAATGATTTTTTCTTATGAAATGATAGAAAATGTTTTTACTTGTGCTTTAGGCCAAACAAAAAATTTTTGTGATCAATACTTACCGAGATATGGAGGCGTGAAGTTGACAGAAAATGAACCGCTTATGGCAACATCACTGACTGCCAGTAACGTGGTAATGTTTTATTTTTTCTACTTACTTTTTTATTTTTTTTTTCCAAGTAACTTTTATAGCCTGTGAGACCAATATAAGGCATATTGTTGTATGCTACACAATAACTGCACAAACAATGTTGTCATTATATTGTTTTACAAAACATGTTTACACAAACCAACAATAGAAATTTTTTTTATTACTATTTTTCCATATTATATATACACATAGTCACTGGACATGTTCCTAGAAGTTCTGAAGCTTATGGAACTCTTTGAAACATGGTTTCATGCACAATGGTGTTTTACACTCCTCACACATAAAACAAGTGTCTGTGTTTTTGTAGGATTTTTTTTTGTATGTGCATAGATAAAACACCTCTTCTGAGCAGTTTTCTTCAAAGTAGTAGCAGGCAGTTGTGTTAGGTAGTGATCACCAGGCCTCAGAAGAGAGGGTAGTTGTTGATCAGTTCGCAGGTGGTGTTCTATTGCAGGTGTTGTTACTTGGTACTTGAATAATATTTGTCTGATGACAGAAGGAAAATTTGCCATGTGGTGGTTTTTCTGGTTCTCACCTTATAAGCATTGAGCATGAAAATGTCCAGAAGATGGAAAAAGAGTTTTATGTACCACTTACAACTCTTGCAAATACAATCAGCAAACCCAATTTTCATGTCACATTTGTCCACTGAGCGCATATTGAGGGTGTACTCCATCACAGCTGTAGGTTTTAGAATGGGTTCATTGGTCTCTGTTCTGCCTGCCAGTGTCTGTCATTTCGTTACGGTGAACTGATGACAACAGTGTGACATCTTGTTTGTCATGCCCCCAAAATGCCATGATGTCATTGGGAGCAAACACCTGGACCTAACCTATACGTGTGCCTGCGTTGAACGAAGGCATATGTTTACGATTTGCACACACTGTACCACACACATCTGTTGTGTTCACTCGCAAAAAATCACTGAGTAAGGGGCTTGTGTACCAGTTATCAGTATACGTATAATATATGCCCCTTACCAAGATATGGTTCCATCATTGTTTTAACCACATCACCAGAGATACCCAATAACTTTCTGGTATCTTGCAGTGTATTAGTTCCAGTGCACACAGTACTATCCAATACAAGACTGCTGTAGCAATCACAAAGTACAAACAACTTTATACCAAAGCGTTTCCTCTTGCTTGGTATATACTGCTTGAACAACAGTCTACCTTTGAACAACATCAAAGACTCCTCAATAATAAGCTTCCTGAAGGGATAAAAATACATATTGAATATCTGTTTCAGACACTGGTTTCAGGCCTGGTTTTGTCTGAGAAGTGTAGCATACGTAATAGTAGCACAAATCGATTCACTGGTATATCACTGACAGCTGGGGTTGAAATCAGGAGGTCTCTTTACCAGTATGATTTGACACTGTGCTTATACACATATGGCATAAGCATTATTCTTTCTTTCTCTCAACACACCGGCCGTATCCCACCGAGGCGGGGTGGCCCTAAAAGAAAAACAAAAGTTTCTCTTTTTAAATTTAGTAATTTATACAGGAGAAGGGGTTACTAGCCCCTTGCTCCCGGCATTTTAGTCGCCTCTTACAACACGCATGGCTTACGGAGGAAGAATTCTGTTCCACTTCCCCATGGAGATAAGAGGAAATAAACAAGAACTAGAAAGAAAATAGCAGAAAACCCAGAGGGGTGTGTATATATATCCTTGTACATGTATGTGTAGTGTGACCTAAGTGTAAGTGGAAGTAGCAAGACATACCTGAAATCTTGCATGTTTATGAGACAGACAAAAAAAGGACACCAGCAATCCTACCATCATGTAAAACAATTACAGGCTTTCGTTTTGCACTCACTTGGCAGGACGGTTGTACCTCCCTGGGTGGTTGCTGTCTACCAACCTACTACCTAGGATAAGCATTATTGTGGCAAACAAAAGATACATCTCAGCCACAGTTCTCTCTCTCCACTGATGTAGGCGTGATCAATGGTGAGAGAATTGTGTTTGCCATTGTGTACTCATAGTATGTGTTGCTTTCCCTGACAATGTCCATCAGGGGTTTGTCAATGAATAACTCGAAACATTCCAGTTCAGTAGCATTGTTCCCAAGTGTACAAGATGGCTGTATTCCACTTTGACTTTCATCAAAGTAATGGGAATTGGGAACAAAATTGGCAGCTTCTTGCCAATCCCAGGTGTGGTCTGCTGGTAGATACTGGATATTGATAGGTGGTTGTGGTTGTGAAGGTTGTTGTTGTTGAGCTTGGTGTGGTGGGTGGGTGAGGGTGGGCTCTGTTGTAGCTGAGCTGACTCAGCTGTGTGGGTACCAGCATGGCCTGCTGCTGGTGCCTCATGGCGCATGGCACTGCTACTATCTAATGATGCGTGCCCATTTTTCATCCCCATTGTAACATTATTATCTTCATTTCCACTATCTGTTTCTGTTGTATGGCCACTGGATGTACTCTGCAATGTACTCCTTACCCTTGGAATAGCACATGGCACACTACCAGAGCGCATATAGTGTCGTATATACTGACGCCTCACTGGAGAACATTTCACTTCACTCTTGCTACTGGAACTGTTTTCAAGAGCTTGAAGCTCATATTCACTATCACTATCATCAGTATTGCTCACATCTGAGTCCAGGACATGGGAAAATACGAGTTTCCTCTTTTGCTCTGGTACAACTGGACGTGAACAAGACTGCCCAGCACCAGAGGTGGAAAGTTTAGGGTCGTCTGGGTTTTCATAACTATTACCACTATTATGTTCATTATTTTCAGTCACAAATTTCTCAGAACCCTGAAATTCTTCTTCACTGACACTTTCATCTGAGTTTGAACTGTCACCTGGGAACAAGAGAGTCCCAATTCACCGAGGAGTGAGGTGTTTCTTACCGCGAGGCATGGTGAACAAGGCTTACTAACGTGGCGTTCCCACAATGCACCACTGCTCCACGATTTTTTTTTTTTATACTGCACACACTGACTGCGTAGACCCATTCTCTCTCATGTAGGCCTACCAACTTTCTCTTGCTTGATTTGAAGGTGCTAGAATTTACGCATATAAGTTTGTGACCGACCCCAGGTGTAATGGTGTACATGTACATAACTGACCCTGAAAGAGTTAAATGTCTTATTTTACGTTAATACAATGGACCCTCCCTTTTCGTCGATCGTTATCGCTGATTTCCGTTTTCGCCGAGTTTTATTGTCAAAATATTGGTTCCGTTTTTTTGTCGATTTCCTTTGTTTACATCGATGGTATGGAACCTGTCCAGTGCCCAGCGCGCGCACAAAGCCGCATCCCACACACATTCTCAGGCAGTGTCATGTTGTTTTTCAGTGAGTAAACATATCCTGTGAGGTCATACGGAACATTTTGTAATAATGCATTGTTTTTGGCACTTGTTTATTGTGTGTGACTGCTAAATAAGCCACCATGGGCCCAAAAAAAAAGCTCCTAGTGCCAGTCCTGTGGTAAAGAAAGTGAGGAACATGATAGACTTAAAGAAAGAAATTGTAGCACAGCACCAAAGTGGAGGAGGAAGTGAGAAGAGAGAATGTGTCTTCTTCAGTGATTCTACAATATGTACAATACTAAAGGAGCACGAGTCGATAAAGGCTATAGCACCAGCCAGCGATAAAGTGTAGCATTAACAGTGTAGCAAGTAAGTTAAACAATTAATCGATGGAAAAAGG